ATAGAAAGAAGACCGTGGGCCTCTCTTCATGATAGCGGGTGCATGTGAGCATTGCTTATGCTGCCCCACGTAATAGAAAGAAGACCGTGGGCCTCCTTTCATGACAGCGGGTGCATGTGAGCATTGCTTATGCTGCCCCACGTAATAGAAAGAAGACTTCTAGTGCAGCTGAAGGCTAGCTGAGCCTAGCTTTGACCAGATGAGACTTTTCAATATTCTCATGGGGTTAATAAATTTTAAATTATTCTCGACTTAACAGTTGTAGGCCACATTGTATGAATTTGTACAGACTTGGGCACCATCTTTGCAATTACAATCAGGTGGGGAAATGTGCTTTTCTCATCAAGAGAAATGGACAGAAAATTTTATTTGTCTTTTAAAGTCAGTCTACTTAAAAAAGTCGGTTTAAAAATGTTTAAAGTCCATTTTCTGAGGGTGAGAATATTAACCTGTGCACATTGGTGGTTAGTAGTACTATCAAAAGCGGTGATCTCTAGCTTATGTCCTCACGTACTTATGGATGAATGTGTGCAAAACAAAAGCCTGCTTCTTGAAAAAAAGACCCACAGCACATTCAGCGTAAGACTACATGGTGTCAAAAAATTCATAGTGTGAAAATATAATTTATGGAGAGTTTAAGGTACTTGTGAGATTTATTTCCTTGACTGAAATACACACCATCCTAAAAATTAATGTAATATATGCTATATGCTAGCAATTATTTCATAATGGTACATAAGTAATAGAAATTATCCGTAAGTATAGAGTGTTTTTTAAAAAAATAAGACAACAAATGAATACAGCCTAATATAGATGCCGTACAGCTAGGTTCTCAAATCAGGCAGCCTGATTTCAGTTTCTGTCCTCTCCCGTGGAGGAGGTTGGCTCACATTTTGCCTCAGTTCCCTCCATCTCCCAGCTGAGAGCTGCAGACAGCGCCCGCTCAGTGGCGTAGCGAGGAGGGTGTGCGGAGCACTGATCACGGAGCCCACGGGGTGGCACGCACCCGGCTCTCATGACTTAGGATTACTAACTCATGCCATGGTTGAGCCACATGAAATTGATATGAGAATTCACGGAGTCCATGGGGTTGTAGGAATATGTTCAAAGAAATGCTTCCCTTTATGTCCATTCATTGTAAAATGCCATGTTTGGGTTCTTTAATTGAGATTATCCCTTTGGACCGCATTCTTTTGGGGAGCCAACTGGAAGAGTCATGGTTGAGAGAACAATGATACGTGGCCTTTCCGAAAGTAAACTGTCCCTTGCCATTTTCATTAACTTCTCTATGGACTATCTACAAAAGACAGAGAATGTTATTGGAATGAAGTTACAGGAGGAATGTCTGGTTTTCATTTCAGTGTATGCTGGAAAAAGTTGGAAATTGGAATTTTGATATCTTTCTATTTGATAGACTAACAAATGGTAAGTGGAGAATTTGACTTATTCAAGTTCAATGTAGTCTTTGTGGGTGATTGCACTGATGCTACAGCTGCTGGTGGTGGCTGCTGTCCTTCACTTCCGTTCATGTGTCCTTTGGTGGAGGAGAGCAACCTCTTGTCCCCTCTGTACTGACTGACCTATCAGTCCAGAGAATCAATCTCACGCCTTCATATTTTGATTATTACTCTTGAACAGCAATCAAATGCGATCATGTTATTATCACTCGGCTATCCCTCATCATCACTGGGCTACCTCTAATGCTGCTACTATTAATGACTCAGAGTGACTATTCTTACTATGCTGTCCTTTTGATTGTGCCCGTTGACAACGGCATTTTCTGGTATGGTGTTTCAGTTTTGATAGCTACAGGTGCATGCATGATTAAAGACCTTGCTTGCAGCTGTCCAGCTCTGCAGCGTCTCTCTTGCTGCACACCTGCACGGGATTGCATCCGGTGGACAATGGTGCCTTTAGTGGTGGGGGAGGGGAAGAGCTGACTGCTTTAGATGAGCTTCTCAGAGTGGGGGTGGGGGCGAGGAGTTTAAAAAATTCTCTCTTTAGCCCCCTCATGGAAGGTTTGTTTCTTTCTTCGTTTTGTGGAGGTACTTGTGTTCCTATTCTTTGTGGGGGAAAAGGAACGCATTCTTTGGGAACAGCAACAGAATTCCCTTTGGGAATCATTTTCATAAAGAATCGACATTGTGGCGTAATTGTTGGTGATACATGTAGTCACTTAGTCTTTGCCCCCTTTTTATCCAATTAGCTTTTTGTTTGTTTTAATAAAGCAGACCTGAAAGTCCTCAGGGAAGGATTCGCTTCTGACAGGTTAGGAAGATGAAATAAATAAATATCCCTGTTATATGAAAGCCTTCAAAAAGTTGATGGAAAATATTCCCTATCTTTTAAGTCCATCTTTCCACCAGCGTTTTGAAGCCCCCTTTTTCAACTCTTTGAAATGAAACTTGTTTTGTAAGGAAGCTAAATAGGTAAGACAAGCAAACAAGCAAATAATACAGCTATGTTCATCTTGAAAATGGGGGTGGGCCTGGTAGTTTTAGCACCCCATTGTTGCCCCTTAGATCTATGGCCATAGGTAGTGAGGTGCCTTCCTGTATGCCTGCTGCTGACAGAAAGGAAACCGGACTGATCCTGGGCGAAGGAGTGAAGACAAGGACATTTGCTTTCATCAGCAAAGCCTCCCTCCCCTTCCCTGCCTTTCCCTTTACCTTTTCTATTTCTCTTCCTCCTCTCCTTTCTCCGTTGGTGGCAAGTGTCTGGCTCTGTCTCAACCTTCTCACACAGGAAAGGCGCTGTTATCATTTACATGCATGTCCTTCCCCTCGGACGTTTTGAAAAATAGAGAGTGGCATATCCGGTGGCCCATCCTCTTCTAGATCTGAAAGGTTGTGTTTTTTTTTAATGCAACTCAAATGTGACTTAAAAAATATTATTATCTCAATGTAAATATAGATGAAACAGTGCTACTCTTCACATCTTCAAGGTTTATTTTTAGTCTACACTTGCAGGGGTCCTCCAACTTTTTAAACAGGGGGCCAGTTCACTGTCCCTCAGACCCACTGGAGGGCTGGACTATATATTTTTTAAAAACCAAAAAACGCAGGCCTGGTTAGACCAGATGATGCACAGCGGTACAGATGGGAATTGGAAATGCAGGGAATCTAGGACAGAAGAACCTCTCAGGACCAGGGGTGACAGTGGCGATACCAGGAGGGAAAGGGGATGTAGTAAGCGGGAATGGATCACAGGGAGCCACATATAACCTCCTCTCT